GTTGAGTTTTGAGTTATTTTCTCAATTAATCAAAGAGTTATTTTGGTTATTTGTGTTTCTTGATCTTGACACTGCACATAGAAGATCTGGTTGAAGCCTATATGGAGAAGTGGAAGAAAGATAAATGTGGCTAAAAGAGGCACAACTTAAAGTAGACATAACTTTTGAACTGTTAGGAGTTTGGGGATGTGCGATAAAATGTCGAAAAGCTATCGTCGGGCCGGAGCTCCTTGACAGGCGCCAAAGGTGACACGCCCCCGATCCCCAAAGTTCATTGCCCCGCCCGTGCCTCCAACTTCAGATTGCCCCCAATTCATGTCCATTTTCGTGATTTATGTGATAGTGTTTCAATAAAAGAATAACCGTTTTTCGTTCTTTTCTGAATTTCATGTTTCTATTTAAGAATTTAATTAGAAGATTTTATTGTCAACTTCAACTTCCCAAAATTGCATATCTGCCAATTTTAGCCCGATCTATAAAGCGATTTTCGTAAGCCTTTGATAGGCATCTTGAAATCAATAATATTCATCCCTTTAAATAAGTGTTTGTTCTTGCTTTCGTTATGCGTCTGGATACTAATAAACTTCCATTGATGATGGTAATTCCACATGACCCGCAACATCTTTGTGGCACATATTTCTATGAATGACACACTTGACAATATAAGATGTACAAGGCTCGCTTCACATGACTTGTGTTTGACTTACTCAGTAACAACATTTCCCGGTGTATTCACTCCTCTTTGAATGTAATGCAATATCTCACTTTATGGTTAGCCCAAATAAATTATAATTGGCTATATATTGCCAACAATATATCATATGGTCACGGATGTATTAAACTCTTTACGCCAATCTTCATGATGCAAATGATCAAAACGAAACTTTGAAGCTCTATTGTTGATTTAGTACAGTATTTCATATAAAAATTGATCTTTCAAAAGAGGCTAAATGGTTAATTAGGATCTTAAACATATAAGATTTGCAGGAAGTGATAACCAAATGCCTATGAGATACTTAGATCAAACCCATAAAGCAATGTATGGGGTTGATCGTCCTTACTTTTAGAGAATTACAATTACAATAGCATCAGAATTTGGGATGTGGAAAATAGAGATAACCGGAAATAGTTTATAGAATTGCTTGTTGATGATATTGGGGCCATAATGAATGTGACTTGCCATTAATGATCGTCCTTGGAGATTACTTTCAAAGAGTCTACATATTACTACTTCTGTGATCATGGAATTGTCTTTTGGACATGTTTTGTTAAAATAAGGGACATGATTTTTGGACATGTTCTGGGAGCAACCATATCCACTACTGAAGCAAAATCCCATTCAAACATGGAAAATTTGAGGAATGCAAGCCAATCAACATTTGACCATCTTATATGAAGAAAATGAAGAATTTTTTTCAAAAACATTTAACGCTTTTTGTATTAACATTTGACCCTTATTATGTAGATATTTGGCTGTGATTCCAAAACGTCAAAATCAACCAATTTAAACATGTTAAAACAATAAAATCAGTGAGTGAGGTTTTGAAGAAGTTGTTGAGTAGACACATCAACAGTTTTTTTGAATAATTTATGAGGATTTTTGTTGAGCCTTTTGTTAGAAAGAAGAAACTTATTTAGCTGTGATCCCTATTTAATTTGTTTCATTTCTACTTTCTTGATATTTTCTTCAAGATTCGATTGAGAAACAATAGAATGAAGTAAGAAAAAAAAACATTCATCTATTCATTGCATTAGTAGAACACAATTACAAGTAGCATGTTGGTTGGATCTATCCAACAGAACATTGGAAAAAAGACTCCTGCCACTGCTTCTGCTTCCTGCCTCTGTCATCACACCTTCACCTTCTTAGCTGCTAATGTTCTCAAAATACTCCACCGGTATTGACCTAGGACAATGCTTCTTCGCTACAAACTTGTACTGTTTCACATCAATCAAAATTACCAAATTAACCCCGAGTCATCATAAGATCCTAGTTTTCATTAACACTGGTAATACAGTAATTTTACAATTACACACCTTATGTTGACTGTACTTTTCCCTGATTGCTGGCAAACTAGAATTGGGGCATTCACAAACAAGAGTATGCAGAGCCTTCACACATTCACTCAAATCCGATGGCTGATACCGAGTATAATGCCTCAATGTCGAATCCTGTCCAATTTATTATCCAAAGTTCGAAGTTAGAAACAACATAATAAAACAACCAAAAAACGATTATAGTAATATAATAATAATGGCACATACCCAAGGTTTCTTTGATGGAACAAGTACAAATCTTGCTAAAAAGATGGCTGATGCAGCAACAAGGGAAGGAGCATAACAGAGCATGTTATACTCGAGAAGAGATAACTCGGATATGTAGCTTGCCAAACACTCTAATTGCATCGAAGGAGCCTGTTTATATTTTATACCATATCAGTATATAAATGCAAAAAATTATTCTGTAAAGTTTTTATTCATTGAGATTTATACCTCATTTACTCCTTGAGCAGCACGAACAAATCGCCTCAAGAAACATCTCGATGTTGGGGCAGTCATTTCAAACTTCAAGAAATTTAGAACCGAAGATTCCATTTGCAACACCTCATCTTTGAAGTATGTATTATCAGTAATGTAGCAGAATTCTTCCACTTGTGGTGCACAGATCTCCTCATACTTCCTGAAAACAAGTTCAAATTTTTTAATACATTTTCAAAACAAAATGTGCATATAATATTATGAACAAAAAGCAAGAAACATGTCTCTTACGAAGCAATCATCATGCAAGCAACTCCAAGCAATTGCAATCGTTGTCTATCCATCAAATTGCCAGAAAGATATCGGTCAATATAGTTAATAGTCAAATACAATGTATCGGGCACCAATCTGTACTCTTCTGCAACCTAAATTCATAACATTTTATATTAGTATTAACAAAAGTAACAAAATTGCCAAAAAAAGATGGGATTAAAATAATGTCTTTTATTACCTCGACAAGCCAGTCTATTAGGATTGCACGCATGCTGGGATTGATATCTTTCTGAACTTTCTCCATGAAATCAATTGAAGGTCTTTTCTTTGCCTAAAATCACCAATAAAAAGTAATTAGAAATCAGCAACTCAATCACAAACGGAATTAGAAACGATTAAAACAATAATGCACCTCGGATGCTCTAAGGTGTTGATAAATGTCACACGCCATAGTTGCACACAACTGTGGATCCATGAAATCAACATCAAGATCGACAATCTTGTCATTTGTCCCCATCTCCATAAGTATCTCTCTCTTGCATACTGTTCCTAAAAAAACCAATTTGAAAATTTTAATCTACAAGAAAACGAAATTGAAAAACTACAAACTGTATAATCACAGAAGCCGAAATCAGTACCTGTTGTTTCAGTATGATCCGAGATGTTCAGTTTACTGCATGTTTTCCTCTCGATTGACTCCATTGCTGCAATGTCATTGTTGTCGATGTATTCAACATCTGGGCTGTTCAAAGATTCACATGTGGACATTGTTTCATCCATGTCGGATTTAGATGGAGACACGTCCATTTTTGACTGAACAGGAGGAACGATTGCATCTTTTCTTGATGTAGGTATACTCTTAGTTGAAGCAGTTGGTTTCACGTCGGTTGATGATGAGAAGATACTTCCATATGAGGCGCCATTGTTGTTGACAATTGAAGATCCCTTCTGTAGATGCAGTTTGTCAGTATTTTAATCAAATTTAAATTGTACATGTTTTAATTTGAAACTTAAGCATTAAAATTATTGAAATAAGACAAAAAAGAAGTAGGGTCGATTTTGAATTTGAAGGAACTGTGGTCGTCGTTCTTGGAGGAAACAGAGCATTAATAATGTATGTTAAATCAAAAGAAAAATTCCGTTGGTAAGAGATTATGATTGTTTATCAAGAAATGGATCTGATCATCAAAATTCTCGTTGCATAACACTGATTGACAACATACTCAAGAAAATCAAACATCATTGCGATATAATGAAGAAAATGAAAACCCCATAATAATAGTTTAAAAGAACGTGAAAGAATGAAATTATGTTTTACCAAATTAGATGTGCTTTTTGAGATGTTATGAGAGGTGGGTCTTTGATTCGTGACGTTAGCGAGAGCAGGACGTTTCTTGGCCATGTGAGGCGGTAAAGCCATTGATTTCCCGACGGCATTCTCCGACGCCTGTCGCTTTGCAAGTGACGACGTCGTTCCTGAAGCTTTCCGATTGTGTGTTACCGTCGACATCACTCAATGCAGCAAGAAAACCGGAAAAGAAAAGAAAGAAGAAAGGAACCCTAGAAACAAAACCCTAAAATTCAACGGCGTATTGGTTTTGAATTGACAACTAGAACAAGAAATTAAAACAAATCCAAGAAAACCCAAGTGAATTCATGTGATTTAAAATCAAAGTATCCGTTTGATTTGCTCAGAACTGAAAAGGGTTAACGAATTCAAAAAGCAGAGTGACTGAGTGAGAGAGAAAGGAAGAGAGAGAGTTATTTAATGGTATTTTGAAGGCGGGCAAAGGGGATGATTTGAAATGAGAATTGATCTTGGCCGTAGGATGAGAAGCAGGTATTCGTTAGGAGCGGACAAGGAGGCTCTTGTCTGTTTTCTTACATTGGGCTATGGAGGAGTGGCCATTTTGTATTATTTTTGGAAACATGAAGGGCTGAATATGTAAATTTTTGAAGACATTGGGTTTCACAAGTGTCTTTTTATAAGATTTTGAATATTGGGCTTTCTGATTGTGTGTGTCACTTTGGCATGTGGGTTTTTTTTTTGAATTCGAATTTGAACGTTGGTCCTTGTCACAATATTTTAATGGATGTATTGCTCACTTCTTTTCTACTTCAAGTATTTATTACGACTACCCTTGTGTTGAAATAGGTTTCAATTATTAAATTTAGGGATGTTTAAAAAATGTTCGAATCCAAATGTCTAATTTGAAATCTCATATAAATATATGAATTGTAATTTTCAAATATATTGGATAACCAATTACCTGAAATTTGAAATATATATGTTTTATTTTTATTTTGGAATTTGTGAGAGAAAACCATTAATATATATAAATTGAGGAGTTGGAAGTTTCAAATGGTTTATGTTGTAATTTTAAAAAATTTGGAGATTTTAAATATATGCGGTGCAAGGAAAATGACATTATTTTTAATAAATATTAGGTGAATTCTTGCACGTTGAACAGAATATAATTACATAGTTAAAATATTGACAAATATATATAGTTCAAAATCACTATTAGTCTTAGTAACTATAAAATAATAATTTTTATATTAAATTGATAAAAAATATTATAATTAATGTGAACCATGTCATAAAATAAACATTTATTGGAATCACATCATCATAATATCTATATGTGGGTTTAGTTATAATCCGTGGACATTATGGATAAGAAACTTAAAAAATAATATATTTATAGTAATACTTAATAATTGAACAATGATAATAAAATTTTTAATAAGTCATAAATATAGATGTTTTATCAGTCATTTCATAATGATATAATGATTCTATAAAATTACGAAAGCATAGTGGTTTGAATATCCGATCGGCAATTTGCATTTCTAGATATGTTAGAAAAATATCATTTTTGTAGAATTTAATCAAAATTAAAAAAAATGATATAAATAATAAAATTGTACAAAGTTTTTATAAATTTCTAAAAACTTCTTTATACACAACATTGAATGTTTTATTTGATAAACTACCATCCTTATCCAAAAGGGAAAATGACACATACGACCTATGAACTTTATAGGGTTTACCCTTTTAGTCACTTAACTTTTTTAGTGGCTTTATGAGGGAACGAATTGTGTTGCAACCTAGCAATTTAGTCCCTTTTTACTTATTATACCCGATAACCATGCCACATCGTCCCAATTTGACACATCATCGATGACATGTCGAAATTGTATTTACGTCTTGAACCCAAACTGTCACAACTAGGAATTCTGATGCTTTGTAAACAATTAACAAGGATAACATTGTAATTAAAACTTGAAAGCATGTATGATGCTTATTCAATGACAACAAAATTTCATCAAACACTCCATACAAACGCTCAAATAGTCTACTAAAGGTTGGAAACCCTAGAAATCTCGGTTTAAGTCCATTATGGACTAGGATTTCCTTATTGGGCCTAATGGGCCAATAAACTT